TAGGGGAAGGGCTCTTTACAATAGTGATGGGAGATAGAACAAGAGGAAATGGGCATAAGCTTAGTCAGGGGAGATTCAGGTTGGATGTTAGGAAGTATTTCTTCTCTGAAAGGGTTGTCAGCCACTGGAATAAGCTGTCCAGGGAAGTGGTTGAGTCCCCATCCCTGGATGTGTTTAAGAATAGGGTGGATGAGCTACTTGAGGATATGGTTTAATGGGGATTAGGGATGGTTGGACTCGATGATCTCTAAGGTCTTTTCCAACCTAGAAATCTATGAAATCTATGAACTGGCTACAAACTTTTACACTTCTATAACAAAAATAAATTTGATGAGTGGTTAAGCTTCTAGGGTTGTTCTTTTAATGCTCTTTCCATACGCCTATGGATTTCAAGTCACATAGGCATTTTGATTATTTACCTTCATGCTAAATTCAGGACAATTCATTACAGTGTCTCTCAGCCACAGAACAGCATCTGGAGTCCACATGCCAGTGTTAGGAGGCAGATCTGCTAGGCAGCATTTTATAGCCTAAGAACAGAATTAAGTATACAAGGCATAATTTAGTAATATGGAAACTAGTCCACAAGTTCCTATTCACAGAACTTCATTAATGCTGACAGATTCAATACGTATGACAAACAGAAAGAGACAGAGGAACGTGCAAAGCCAGTACCACTACACATACATAACATCCCATCGATACATAGGACTACATTACGATTTAATTCGGGCAAAGATGCACAATGAAACACACACCAACGTTAACTGCTATTAAACAAAACAAAATATCACTACATAAAGCTTGAAGTGGCAGCTCTACAAATGCTGCCAAGAGATCTAACACAGGTTAGCTTTAACCTATCTTTATACCTGAGGAGGTATTGCAATTACTTCTCGCAGGAATTGTGGTGGGATTTCTCTCAGCTCTGATACTTTTACAGTTGCAACTGTTCCAGTATCCATGAACTGCACATCAAGTGCCCGTCTAGTGTGAATAATTCTTATCTGAAAGAAGAAAGCAAGAGCATCATTTTGAGGTTAAAAGCACAACACTGGTACATACATTATAACAAGTTTCATAGAAACTAAGGATTCATATTTAGCTGAACAAAAAGGAGAACCATTTCTATGTGGGAAAACTGCAGCTGTTCTTTGAATACCTCTTACCTCTACACGTGACCATTTTCCTTTGGAAGGGAACAAGCAGATTTTTCCACAGAAAGGTAGCAATACATTCAACTCAGATGTCTGCTGCAAATATAAAAAAAAGGAGTTAAAAAGCACAGAGCTATTACTATCTGCCACTCAACTAACATTTCAAAAGCCACATACGGAATAAACAGTTCTGCGAAGCAAAAGCTCTGTTTCGAATATAAAGTCTCTTTGCAGCCTCAGAAGCATTTCTTATCACGTTGTTTTAAGCTTCCCCAATCGGTAAAGCTTTAATTCCAAGCTATGTATTTTACAGGGAAACAGAGAATATAAAGTGCCAGGAGAAAAAAGTCAAAGACAGCTCGTGAACAAGAAAGCATCAGAAGACACTTTTCATGCTGGAAGATGCACCCCAAAAAACTAGGAAGAGAATTTATAGTCTTTTTGAATAGTCTATGGCTACCTCAGAAACTTGAACTTATGTGCAAGGAAAATGATTGATACACTCTGAAGAAAGGCCACGTGACTTCACTTCTCTCGCCAGAAACCTACCTTGTAATGGAAGTAGTCTTCTATTTTCTGCAAGATTTCAGAAAGTCTAGTCAAGCCTTTAGACGGCACTTGGCAATACAGGCTTCCGTCAGAGAAAACACTGGTTACTCTGACATTTGTATATAGTACATCTACCTGCAATGGCAAGATTTTGATAAGAAAGGAGGGAAAAACCCCCACAAACAAACTTAGCAAATTTCCAAGTACTCTTTTTTGTCCATCCAAGACCTTAGCAATCAATGATTTTTAACAAATTAAGAAGGAAACAGGAAAATGGTACCTGTAGGTGCAGTTCAAGGGACTTGTCATACAACGCCTTCAGACAAGTAGCATTGATGTTGATATCGTCTTCTCCTGAAGTGTCATAAAGAACAAGAAGAGGAATATCACTCTTTTCCAGTATTTCCACAGCAAATATCTTGGAGCATGTCTGCGATTCCACAGTCTTTACTAGGACAGGATCATCACAGAAGTCTTCCAGTCCTATAAGACACCATACTTTTTATGCATCACTGTATTCAAAGGGAAAAATAATAACCAGATCTGTGTTTGCAACAGGAATCTTTCCAAGAATCAGGATGTAGCAGGAAAGTTGTACTGCAAGCCTACTTGCATTCTGCTTAATTTTCACCTTTTTAACACAGAAAGCCATCTTTGAGGCAGAAGGGAAGGAAAGAAAAAGATCCTCTTCAGAAAGAGTTAAGGCAAATGTGCGGAGATGAATAGAATGCATCCAAGTGTTAAAAAAAACAAACAAGTGAAAAAAAAGCTCATTCATAGCAACTTTATGTATTTAAAATAAAATATTTTTTAAAAGCTAGAAAATGCCTACCACTTCTAGGAAGGTAAATAATTTCCAGCAGAGTCTAGGAAGTCTGCAAGCATGCAAGCACTGAAAGAGGAAGGATAACTTTCAAATAACTAAATAGGATCATATTTAGGAACATTGCCTGACCTGGTCACAACAGATGTGCCTCATTTGTGGAAAAAGGAGTTGTGCTAGTACGTTGTTTCACACAACAGTAAACGTTTCCTTTTATTTCTTTAGGCTTGCATATATTAAAAGGACAAAAATATCCAAGCTAAGTGCAGAAAAAACTAAGCTCCATTACAGAGATACTGGATATCAAGGTCCTGTACTATCGAGATTTCTTTACAAAATTCTCCTTCACATCCATCTTTCCTTCCTTTTCCTTCCTTCCATGCCTACCTGTGTCTGCTTAGACTAGCTGTCTCAACAAAATCTAACATACACAAAGTTATTACGACCAAGGATCAAAACTCCCAGATTGAGAAGGATCAAAACTCCCAGATTGAGACACTTCAATCCATAAATCATGCAACAGCAAGCTGTATAGTCAACACTGGCCTTCTCTTACCTGCCAGTTTACATTTAGCAGCTTGAAATGGAAGCAACTTGAACTGTTTCTGTAGTTTGTACACACTGTTGCTTTCAACAAACTCACTGAAACCATGGTCAACATAGCATACCTGATAATAAAAAAATGGAATAAAAGTGTAAGATCATGAATATAATTGCAAATATGTATTTTTGAGACTAGGAAAAATAACATTAAGTTACCCATCCTCTGTGCAGCCACAGAGAAATCATCCCTTTTTGCAAATTTAGTACTACTTAACCCCATTAATCTCACATTTATTTCAGTGCTTGAATGTTCAGAGTTTTAAGAGAAAGCCGCCTTCTCAAGATCTCTGTAAAACCATCCTCTCCAACTGTTACTCAGAATCACAGCTCTTAATAAGAACACTGCTGGAAGGACTCAGCGCATATTACCTCAAACCACATGAAGAAAGGTAATAAAGCAGCAATTTTTATTTGTAAACTTTTAGAAGTGTTGAAAAGTGCCATCCTATGCCTTTTGTTTATACAGAATTAAAAGAATCATTTTGATTTATGCTTATGGTAACTTTGACACAAATACCACAGTCAATGCAGGAAAACAGCAGGGAAACTGCGGATTGGCAGCAAATAATTTGAGCTAAAGCAACAGAAAGAAGGGCTTTTTACAACTTTTTTCTAAAATCGATCATGCAAAACGTCTGCATATCAAACAGTGAAAAGGGAGTCTCAACACTGTATCAGAGGATAATCAGCAAATGCTGCAATAAAGCAGTAGCCTTCTTTTGGCTGAGAGCTTTAGATAGAAATTAGAGGCAAGCTTGCTACCAATGTCTTTGCCACTTCTCTAAACTCAACAGTATTTCACAAAACTGAGTTCTGACACCCCCCTTCAAGACCTAGCTGAAGGCTATCAGACTAACTTTCAGAAAAAACTCAATTCTAATACATGTGCTATTTAAATATTTATGAAATGGATCAACTTTAGAAGTATGTTAAGCAGACCTGGGTAAAAAGTCATCCAACTGGGATGACTAACTGAGAAAAATAACAAATAAAAAGGTATCATTAATATTTGACTAGGCAAGAAATAACTTAGAATTTTAAAACTTTTTTTACAGTTCTATCATATGTCCTAGTTTCACTGCAGATGACAAGAAGAGTCTGCTTGGCCCAGGAAAAGTTTAACAGAGTAGTTAAATCATCTCAAAGGAGTTTAACTAAAATGTACACTACATGTAACTCCCAGAATACCAGGTCTGCCTGGAAGGGAACTTAAGTATATCCTTCTCATTGCCTTGCTATTTAGTGCATGTAACAGACACTTCAGTACAAGACTTCAAACAAGATCTATCAGCAAGTGAATTTTATCCCTCCCTTTCCCTTCCGCTGCCCACTCCAAACAGTGCTACTACACCCTCCTAAGGCCATCAAAGGCACGTTTTCAGTACAAAAGTGCTATAGGGCCCAGCCCCGTATAAAACCCATAACTCAAACTAATTATGGAAAAACACCTGAAAGATCATTTAATTTTGGCAATCACATAACTTCAAAAGAGTCTTAATTTCTTGTATCACTGAAAACAGAAGTACTTCAGGGCAAGAAAGGAGAGAATGCTGGTGCAGCATATTTAGGAATTGACCGTGCATCTAAAAAATAAGATTGTTTCAAGTCTTTCTCCAAGTGCCAAAAGAAGTAATTGCTTGCCTTTATTCTGTTGTCTTCTAGAGAAATTATCCGAGCACGCAACCAGGCATCTTCTTCAGCATGTACTGCAACAAGTTGTCCAACACTCAGAGACTGAGCTAGTGACACTGTACTATTCTGACTATAGTATGCTTTCATGTCATCCTCCATTTGTTCCTGAGCAGAAGAATAATCTTTGCCCACATACCTACAGTATTTAAAAAAAAAAAAAAATCACAAGAGTTAGGATGCAACTTCAAAAAGCTGAATAAAAACCTAAGAACATTTATATGCATATATGAATACGAGTAAATATATTTTTTCTAAGCACACCAGTATCCAAACTCTTTTCCCATTAAGAGGGCTATAAAAAAGTAACTGAAATAAAATTTAGTACTTTTGCTGACAGCTAAATGTGGTCCAGCAGTGTAGAATTTAAATATGCTCAACTAGGCTTTTAGTAAGAGCTCTTACTTGAGTATTACAATCATGTAGAGCAACTTGATCGCTAGAACAGAGCAGTATCTGGGACTAAGTACAAAACAGAACTAATACGACATCTCTGAAGTTACTCTGTCATGAACAAACACCAGCTTAATCAGGTTTCACTAAAGTGGATCAAAAACAAGGCATCTAAAATAACTTTACAAATCAGCTGTCGAACCATATGCTGTTTACTTTTGGCCTTCAGAACGATCCTGATATTAGGCTTCTGATGTAATGGTTCACACTGAAGTAGTCTGTGTTGCACAGATCTTCTTTAATGCAGTCTATAAACTTACTGAAAAGTCCACATGGGAAGCTCTGAATGCTTCAGACACAAGTCAGATTAGACCAGGCAAAAGGAAGCTACTGTTTTAACTTGCTCATAGAGTGATTAATACTGTTTATTTCTACCCCATAGTTCAGATTACCATCCTATAAAAATCTAGATTTATTCTGAAGTTCTGCTATATGCCTAGGATTAGTGCAGATACTGTACTATGACATACGATGCTAACTTTGTTATAAAGATTAAGTTCCAACTGATTGCATACCAGGGAACCCTCATTTTCCTGAAGAAAGCCTGCTACCTCACCATCCAATTATATATTGCTTTTTAGAATGACAGCCCTTTTGTTTCTATGTAGGCACTCATCTACTTCATAATGGACAAGGAGTTGGGTGACAGTCACATATGTGCTACTTAAAAGTTTATTTCTTAACATTTATTTTGTAAAGATACTTAACAGACAGTAGGACTATGTCAACAGAAAGTAGAAGAGTCTTTCAGAATTTCCTGCCTCAGTTGCTATTTTCCGGCTACAAGTGAACATCATACTGAAGACATTTTTGGCTGCTCAAAGCCAGTTGAAAAATTACTTTTCAGATTCTTTAGAGGAGAATCTTGGAAAGCAACTTCAAAAAAGTGTGTTAGAGATTAATCCATGTGCAGGTGGCCAGACACTGCAAGTGTGCAGTCAGCACCATTCTTAGTCTCAAAGGGAATCAATTCACATGTCAAGCAAAGCTTGCTGCTTCACTGTGAAAGGATCAGAGGGGTATGTTTCCATAGTGAAATAAGCTACAAAGTTTTGTCTATTCAAAAAGATAAAAGAAGATGAGGAAAAAAGTATCCGAGCTGTAGCACAGAAACTCAAAGTAGCTGAGAATAAAAGGTGATGGTTATTTATAGTCAGAATTCAAATGTAGCACCTAGCATATCATTTCTGCCTTCAGTCACACTGTTGTACACGCATAGCAAATATCTAGGAATGTTTCTATCACCTCACTTTCATTCTGACGACATCAGAATTCTTACAGAATTGTACCATGTCTCAAAATTGAAATAGCACCAAACTTTCCAGCTTTGTCTTACAGATGCAGATGAAAGGTTAAAGCCAAACAACTTTGTGCTGCAGATGAAAGGTTAAAGCCAAACAACACTTAGCCATATACCAAGAAAGTAAAGAGAAATTGCTCCATCCCCTAGACAGAAAGAGGGATCTTGATTTTACTGATCCTGCAAAAATTAACACCAGACAATAGCCACTACACAGTTCTTGTGTAGATCAGGAGAAAGTGACTGCTAGTACATGCATGGGAAAGGTGAGACCATGCCCTGTTTCCTTCCTGTACGTCTACATGAATGTTTTCTTCTCATGGCAAAAAACCTATTCCCTTCATGGCTAGTTTCATCTTGAAGATAAGTGACCTTGCACATGAAGCACATAGATAACCCTAAGAAGTCATTTCTGTATCTCGAGCCAAGAGACCGCTAGTTAACCACCACCACGTGCCTTCACAGAGCTGACAAATTCAGAAACTTTAATATGGTTCAAGAACCATGGACCAAAATTTGGGAACTGCTGCTTTAGAGAAATTTTTACATAATCACCCTCAGCTCCGCTGCGTCATACAGTAGTTTAATTCATGGGACATGAAACGTTCCCCTAAATAATTAGTAGAATAGATTAGAAAGCTAAGATTTGTTACTCCACATATATAGCAAGATATCAGTGCTGCCAGAATTAAAAGGTATACAGTGAGAAGGAAAAAGTTTTGCAGAGCTAAGTCCCACCTGCACAGCAAGCTGGAAGCAAGAGACACATAATTTGTTCCGGCTCTTCCTAATACAAAACATGCAAAATGCAACATGTCTAACCGTTCCAGTATCTCTATGTACAGATGATTACATGCCTTAAGTTGGCTGTCTTTTGTGGCACTATTCATCTTTCTCATCTTTCATGTCTTAGGCTAAATTCAAACAGACTCACAGGAACAACCTAAAACATAAAGCCTCTCTTTTCTTTGATGCAGTTCTTCCTCCTGTGATTTCTTTTTTTAAACTTAGGCTCACTCACAAATTCCAGCAGTGTCTTCTTTGCTAAAATGATTGGCTTGTCCAGTCAGAGATAGTAAAATGTTAATGATGGATGAAGAATCTTGCCTTAAATTATGTTTTGTGGTAAGACCAGTTTACAAAATAAATGGATAAGCAATATACTAAAACAGGTTATCTGAGAAAAGAATGGTATATATATGAATGGTACTAGCAGGTAAAACAAAGCAACATTTTCAAATAAGAATTTCTCTCACAACCTCCAAGTATGGAGATTTTCACTATAGGTTATCAGACACTAAGATTCCATGACTTCAGGGAACTAAAATGGTGGACTGACACATGCAGAAAGTTCAAGGCTGAGTATTCCAATACATTACTGATAGCTAAAGAGAAAAAAGGTATCTGAATTTCAGCCTTAAGGCTAGTGTGTTGGATATTGCTGACCAGCAATGAGGAACACGGTCTTAGCTTCATAGTGAACCAATCTGTAAATAAACCGCACATATACTTATTTTGATCCTAATCAGGACCTCTGAGAATGACTGAAACAATCTAATGAAAGGTGAAACTGCAGATACTAGTGAGAAAAAAGAGACCTGTCAATACAGTGTATTACCACACAGTTGCTCAATTCATCCTTTGAAGTGACATATAAAACTTTTTAAGATTAGGCTTGATTTGAAATAATTTTCAAAATGAAACATCCTCTATAAAAAGTGGGTTTTTTTGTGTGTATGTGTGTTTGTTTGAAGTTTTAAAGAACTGCTAGGATTTGTGTGGTTTATTCCAACAATGAAGTATAGAGAGCTTATCATAGTATTTCCTGAAACAGTACAGTAACATATACATAAGATAGTCACTGCAATGCACTTCTTACACTGTCCTTTAAGGCTGGGCTGATTAGCAACCAAATCGAGAAGCACTAGCAGTTTATTGTTGGATGGAAGCCTATCTGTCCCCAAAAGTGAAAACTGCAGTGTACTCTGAACACACTCAAGTCACACCTAGTTAGCAGTAAGTCAGTTATAGAAGTAAAAAATATTTTTATAGATATTTTATAGGTTTAGCGTAGAGGATGGCCTTTCTAGGGACTTCAGATACACAGTCTACTATACATATTAATAAGTATTGCAGTAATATCTGAATACTACTATGTGTTATAGTAGGGTTATTTTAAAAAGTCTTCCAATGGCAAGCCAAATCTGCTTTGATTCTCAGACAAACTAATGATAGAACCAATCTGCTCAGCACAGAAAAAGTTTCAGAAAATTTCCATTTAAGCACACAGACAAAGGATACTTAAGTTTCATTACCAAAATAAGTAAATAACAAAGTCCTGCAACTTCCTGTTCATCTGTTTTCTTATGGCAGACCTGCACAATATGTGCATGTGGATTTATAAATAAAGCAAAAAAGACAGATTCTGAAATACAAACTTGCCTAATTAGGACCTCATTAGTGTTCTTCAGTTCTAACACCATGACTGACACAGATCCTTCCGATGGAATGATTAGAGAAGGAACAGTTACGTTCTCTGGATACTGGTCCTTGGATTCTTCATGCTGTTGTTCAGCTGTGGCCTTCACACCATCATGCCTCTGGACTTTCTCAGTGACATTCAGATTTTCATCAATGCGTCTTTGGGGTTTAGCATAGAGGATGGCCTTTCTAGGGACTTCGGATACATAGTCTACTATACAGACATCTGAGAGCAATTCTAGATTATTTAGAATGTCTTCTGGAAATTTTACTTGGTAAGTGTCTTGGTACAATTTGGGAAGTGCATTAGCCCAAAGACCACTTGAATACTTCAGCAAGATGTTAACAACTTTCTGCTTGAAGTCACTACTAAGTGATGCAGGTGTGGTCTCCATATTTGGTTTTAACAAAGGGTCTGCTTTTGGAGAAGTAACATTCTGAGATGCCTTTTCTTGCTCGGTATCACTTTTTGCTATCGGTGGTATTTTCTTAGCAGGATAAAGCAGCCCATCCATCTGATCACCCCTGTGTACTTTCTCCACCTTGGAAAACAAAAAATAGAGTCAATAATCAGTTGCATATCTAAGTCTAAATCATTTTGCCAATTACATTTTTATAACATGGATTTTATACAGACTTCAAAGCGGACATCCCCAGGAAACTAAGCTTGAGGCAGTCAGTACAGGGTAGTATTTTTTCTAATGTTTCCTCCTCCATTTTGAAGGATATCAAATACATATAACTACATCAGTACAGGGCAAATATCTAATCTATGCAATACAGCTTGGACTTGCTTCCAAAGAAGTATAGTCTCTCTTTTCTCCTAGAAGGATCAGAAGATGATGACACACTCCACAAACTTTAGGTCTTTTGCACATTAACTTCCCTAATCTTCCACACAGGTAAGCATTATCATAAAGAAGAGCTTCTGTCTCAGTTTACTGAGGGAGAGGGGATTTGATTGTATACTTCAGAAATAAGAGGACACCTGTCAGGCTATCTGCTGTCATGCACAGGGAATTATTTTTGCTTTTAAAAAGTTCTGAAATTAAAGAAAAAGTTTCTGGATCATAATAAATTTAGTAATAAATTTGATTAAGCCATTTTAAACCTTGCCCACAGCCTCCCTCTAGACTCAGATATTTTGCTAGTCCATGTGTCTCCACCCTTTGCTAAGTTCAATAATAAGCACCTCACATGATCTGAAATCACAACCTTGAAAGCACCATTTAAGAACTTGTGTTGGGTTTATGTGGTGGGGTTTTGGTAGTGGAGGAGGGGCTACAGGCATGGTCCATGTAAGAAGCTGCTAGAAGGTTCCCCAGCTCCAAGTCAGATGTGCCTCTGGCCAAGGCTGAGCCAGTCAGCGGCACTGTTAGTGCCTCTGTGATAACGTATTTAAGAAAGGAAAAATAACCTGCACCATGTGGCACCTGCAGTGGAGAGAGGAGGAAGGTGCGGGTGGCTGTCTGCACTGAGCCGACTACCCTCTCCACCTCGCCTGATGGGGGCAGGGAGGGAGGGCAGCGGCAGCTGGAGCAGTCTGTTTCTGAACGACTGTGTTCCATAGAAGGGACCCATGCTGGAGCAGTTTGTGAAGAACTGTAGCCTGTGTGAAGAATGCATGTCAGAGGAGTTTGTGGAGAACTGTCTCCTGTGGGAAGGGACTCCACGCTGGAGCAAGGGAAGAGTGTAAGGAGTCCTCCAGAGGAAGAGGAAGGAGCAGCAGAAGCAACATGTGATGAACTGACCAGAATCCCCATTCCCTGTCCCCCTGGCACCACTGAGGCAGGGGAGGTAGAAAAATCAGGAGCAAAGCTGAGCATGGGAAGAAAGGAGTGGGAAAAGGTTTGGGTTTTTTTTAAGATCTGATTTTGTTTCTCATTATCCTCTCTGATGTAAATGGTAACAAATTAAATTGATTTTTCCGCCAGCTAAATCTTGTTTTGCCCGTGACCATAACTGGAGAATTATCCCACCCTGTCCTTGTCTTGACTCTCAAGCCTTTTGTTATATTTTCTCCTCTCCATCCCACCGGGTATGGGGGAAAGAGAGCGAGTCGTCACATGGTGCTTAGTTCTTGGCTGGGCTAAACCACAACAGAACTGTAGACACAAACTCATAATAAAATTCCACTTCCTAAAGCTATGCAGTTTCAACCTAGATCAACCTGGCCGTAACTTAGCAGGGGTATCTATGTAGAATTGAGATAACAAAAGCTCTCAGTGTTTTCACATTGGTCTCAAAGCAAGAACAACTCCTGCAATAAAGTAAGTTATTAAGGTGTATGTGGCTTCACCTTCATGTTCTTTCCTCAGAGGAAACAACTCTCATCAGTTTCTTAGGTCCACATCACACCAAAGTCCTTTTCAGAGGCAAATCAATGAAGAAAATATTAAGCAGTTGAATTACTTGTTACTACTTAGGGGTAGCATTTACCTTTACAATATTGAGGTCCATGCCTATCAGAACTTTATAAACCTTGCTAAAGTAATTCTTTGGTGTTCTGTCTTAGCAACACACGATGGAAGCATAACAAAGATGACTTTAAGTATTATCTTACGTAACAAGAATAATAGATGTCACTTATTATCAAGGTAACTTTAACAAGACAAGGACATTTCATTACAATACATGGGAAAAAATTTAAAAAAAATGGCCATTGCTGTGCACCTTTTCACACTCAGCCCAAATTACCACATGATTATCTGTGTTGAGAGAGTCAGCAAAACCACCTAAGAGTTCCTATGTAAGTGCACTTCCGTATACTTGCTGTGCATTACATTATCTAGACTGGTGCAAAAGCAAGATATCAAATGGTTCTTGGGAATAGATCTTGGTCAACTTCTACAAACACTAGCATACGTGTTATCTAAAATTGACACAAAGGAAATAGTATTCATAGATATAAAAAAATATTAACCATGTCAGAGAATTCCCATGCATTCATGATGGCATGTTTGAATCCTTCCTTACTAGTTAAAAACAAAGTAGTAATATTTTCTGCAAGAATAACACATGAGAAGGCAGACAAACCTATCTAACAATCCTCGGCTCCCTGAATTCATGCTAGTGAGTCCACAAGATTTAAGGCTCAAGTCTTTCCCAGTAGGGTCACTAAACCAAGGAGACATTTCCTCTTAATTGGGGGGAGGGGAGAGATAGTGTCCTATAGATGTCCATTTACTAAAGAATATGTATCAACTACAGGATAAAATATAAACAAATCATATAAAGAACTTCAATGTACCAATGGTACGTTCACCAAGTTCTTAAGCATCTCTGCTAGTCAGTTTGATGTAAGAGATGACAGAACATGTTTGGCCACGCAACCTAAAAGGGTTACCATCAATGATTCATGACAGGAAGAACCTACATTTGTACCCTCTGGTATCAGAAACCTTATTGTGCCTCTTGAATCATTGGTGAAGAAAGGAGCTTGGTTAAAAAAACCCACAAAAACCTATCAAAGCCTTGCAAGGGCTTTGATATACAGTCAAGAGACCAAAGTATATCAATTGGCCCAGAGGAAAAACCAGGGCACACCATTTTAGCAGGTAATGACATCCTAGATACAGAGGAATTAAAGATGTTAATTCCAAGTGTCCATGCACAAGATTGAGGAATTTGTTTGAATGACCAGCCACGGAAACTTCTAGTTCCAGAAAACACTTGGCATTATCAGGACAACAATTTGTTTGAGAAAGCTGTGTTGGAATGTGTAGCAGTTCATCCTGAAAGAAACTGGATGCAGAGATCTGGCTTTACGTACCCTTTCTCTTGGCTAGCTCTTTCTAACTAGTGCGGCGACAGAATGAATAAATTTTAGCTTACAGGACTATTAAACCTTACACGCTAAAGACCAGCAGCAGACTAAAGAGAGAAGATCCTTAGAGACCTTTAAGCCTCTTAACTCTAATAATAGCTCTGAGGTTTTCTAGGCATTGAAGGTCCGTTTAGAAGAGACTGTAGACACTGACTAACCAAACCATTTAGAGACAGAAAAATGCTATTTCAGTAAGTTGTTTCAGCTTACTTCAGCATAAATAAGCTCACGTGGACATCATTAGGCTATTATTTCTTGCATAGAAGTTAATGTTCAAGATGCAACAGACTCCTCCAGACAGTCCTATGGCCAAGACACATTCAAGGACACACAATATAACAAACTTTTAATTGTAAGCAAACAGCTTCACTTGTGAAGCAGCAAGTGAAGCGCTGCAGTGAGCAGCACTTCAAAACAGCCACCCTTTCTTTAGCACAAGTATCTCAACATGGTTTCCAGTTGAGTTTATAGATTTGCCTGCAAGGTACTTCTCATTAGTATGGCTGGCAGGCCTGGTCTGCAAGCACAACACGCCTGCTGTCACCTCTCCATTAGAGAGCACAAAGCAGAGTCAACAGCTGTTAGAATGTATTATCAGGGCAACAGAGACTTAAGTAATTCTACACAGAAGAAAAAGAAAAACGTATTTGTGCTGGGCCTGAGTATCAGAGGAGGCTCTTAAAATCAAGAGCCCCAAAATAATAAAGCTTCAAATAAAAAAAATACTCCCAAGACAAATACTGACACTGCAACTTAGTAAGTCAAGCTGAATGCAAAGGAAGAGCAAGTACACTCCTGACGTACACATACAGAGGGGATGAAGGCAAACATACTCCTGTACGTGTTGCTAGGACAAAAGCTATGTACATGCGTGCTTGACAACATGCAGGTAAACCACTACACTAACATATGTAAACAAAAGAAAGGATCCACTTTGCCATGCTAGAATGGCAAAGATAACACCAGGTCTTGTTTAATCGTGTGTACTGCGATGACCAAAGAGCAGATACACTGACGATCTCCTAGAACATCAATATCTTCCAGGGAGGAAGTGGAGAAAACACCTCCTTGAATGGCAAATTTCTAGAGAAAGGGTCCTTCACTTTCAAGATTACATCCACAACTAGAATATGCATCTACTTTCTGCCATTCTTCTGCAAGGTAGGG